CCCAGGCTGATCTTGAACTGCTGGACTCAAACAATCCTCCCACCTCAGCCTCCCAAAGTTCTGGGATTACAACTGTGAGTCCTGATGCCTGGTGCTGGCATTTTATAGTCTTTGCAGCTATTGTAAATAGGATTAGTTCCTTGATTTCTTTTTCAGATTGTTCACTGTTGCTGTGTATAAATGCTACTGATTTTTGTATGTTGATTTTGTGTCCCTTTACCTTTACTAAATTTGTTTATCAGTTCTACCAGGTTGTTAGTGGAGTCTTTAGGTTTTTCTAAACGTCAGATTATGTCAGCTGAGCATAGTGGCTCAGGCCTGTAATCCCAGCACTTTAGGAGACCAAGGCAAGAGGATTGCTTGAGATCAGGAGTTCATGGCCAGCCTGGGCAACATAGTGAGGACCTTCCCCCACCCCCAACCTCTAAAAAAATTAGCATTGTCACATGCGCCTGTGGTCCTGGCTCCTTGGGAGGCTGAGGCAGGAGTATCACTTGAGCCCAGGAGTTCAAGACCAGCCTGGGCAACATGGCAAGGCCCCATCTTGCAGTGAGCTATGATCACAACTGCACTGCTGCCTGGGCAGCAGAGGGAGTCCCTGTTTCTAAGGAGAAAAAGGTCATGTCATTGGCAAACAAGGCCAATTTCACTTCTTTTTTTGTTGGGATACCCTTTATTTGTTTATCTTGCCTAATTGTCCTGGCCAGAACTTCTAGTATTGGGTTGAATAAAAGTGTTAAAAGTGGACAACCTTGTTCTGTTCAAGATCTCAGAGGAAAGACTTTCAATTTTTCCCCGTTCAGTATGATGTTGGATGTGGGTTTGTCATATATGGCCTTTATTATTTTGAGGTGTATTCCTTTTATACACAATTTTTTGTTGAGGGCTTTTGTCAGAAAGGGATACTGAATTTTATTGAATGCTTTTCAGTGTCTTTGGAAATCTTATATAGTTTTTGTTCTTGGTTCTGTTAATTTGGTATGTCACATTTATTGGTTTGCATATGTTGAACCATCTTTGTATTTCTAGGATGAATTTCACTTAACTATGGTGAGTGATTTTCTTTATGTGTTGAATTTGGTTTGCTGGTATTTTGGTGAGAATTTTTGCAGGTATGTTCATTAGTGATATTGGCTGGTAGTTTTGTTGTTATGCTCTTGCCTGGTTTTCATATGAGAATAATGCTCACTCTGTAGATTAAGATTGGAAATATTCTCTCCTCTTCAGTTTTGTTTCTTTTTTTTTTTGAGGAGTTCGAGTAATATTGGTATTAGTTTTTTCTGTTTTTTTTTTTTTTTTTTTAAATTTAGCAATAAAGTCATCAGGTCCTGGGCTTTTCTTTGATGGGAAACATTTTGTTGTGGCTTCAATCTTGTTTTTTTTATGACAAGGTTTTTCTCTGTTACCCAGGTTGGAGTACAGTGGTGTGATCATGGCTTACTGCAGCCTCTACCTCCCAGGCTGAAGCAGTCCTCCCATCTCAGCTTCCTGAATAGGTGAGGTGCAAGCCACCACACCTGGTTACTTTTTCTACTCTTTAGCAGAGACAGATTTTCATCATGTTGTCCAGGCTGGTCTTGAACACCTGAGCTCAAGTGATCCGCCTGTCTCAGCCTCCCAAAATGATTTTCTTTAAAATTTCCCTAGGTCACTATCTGCTTTTCAGCACTACATGGAATCTTAAACCCACGGTTTTACCTCTTATCTAGCAAACTATCAACAATACTGCCCATCACCTGGGCGTGGTGACTCACGCCTGTAATCTCAGCACTTTGGGAGCCTGAGGTGGGTGGATCATGAGGTTAGGAGATTGAGACCATTCTGGATAACACAGTGAAGCTCCGTTTCTAGTAAGAAAAGTACAAAAAATTAGCTGGGCTTGGTGGCATGCGCCTGTAGTCCCAGCTACTTGGGAGGTGGAGGTTGCAGTGAGCCTAGATCATGCAATTACACTCAAGTCCAGTGGACAGATTTTGGTGGCTTTCACATCTGTCACCTGCAGAGAGAAAGCTTATACATAATGTTTTATGCTCGTTGTTTGATGATTGATATGAACAAGACCAAACATAACCCTGTACACAGAGGAATGGAGATTGTCTTTCTCCACCTAGATTCATAAGCTTCCCTGAGGCGATCTTGGCATGAAGGAAGAGAGAGCATTGAGGCGCATTCCACCATCAGCTTCAGAGGATGGCAGCCATTGATTTGTCTTGCGGTAAGTCCTTGTTAATGCTCTTTCTCAGAGATTCTGCTTTAGGTCGCCCTCCACACCATAAGAGTGCAGTGAGCTGGGCCTGAACAGTCGCTGCTGGTTCTTTTTTTTTTTTTTTTTTTTTTTTTTTTTTCTCTTTTTTTTTTTTTTTTTTTTTTTTTTTTTTTTTTTTTTTTTTGGTTTTTTTTTTTTTTTTTTTTTTTTTTTTTTTTTTTTTTTTTTGAGGCACAGTTTAACACTTGTTGCCCAGGCTAGAGTGCAGTGGCATTGTCTCAGGTCACAATCACCTCTGCCTTCTGGGTTCAAGTAATTCTCCTGCCTCAGCCTCCCGAGTAGCTGGGATTACAGGCATGTACCACTTTTACTACACCTGGCTGATTTTGTATTTTTAGTAGAGATGTGGTTTCTCGATGTTGGTCAGGCTGTCTCAAAACTCCTGACCTCAGGTGATCTGCCTGCCTCAGCTTCCCAAAGTGCTGGGATTACAGACGTGAGCCATCACACCTGGCTTCCTCTGGTTCTTACAGGAGTAACTGAAGCGCAAAACAGAATGTTGTTTTATTTTATTTTTATTTATTTATTTATTTTGAGACAGAATCTTGCTCCGTCACCCAGGCTGAGTGCAGTGGTGCAATACCTCTGCCTCCCAGGTTCAAGCAATTCTCTTGCCTCAGCCTCCCAAGTAGCTGGAACCACAAGCACGTGCCTCCAGGCCTAGCTTGTTTGCTTATTTATTAATTTAGAGATGGAGTCTCACTCTGTCACCCAGGCTGGAGAGTAGTGGCATGATCTTGGCTCATTGCAACCTCTGCTTCCATGGTTCAAGCAAGTCTTTGCCTCAGCCTCCTGTAATTATTGTTTTATTTTTTTTTTTTTAGTGGAGACGGGGTTTCACCATGTTGGCCAGGCTGGTCTCAAATTCCTGACTTCAAGTGATTTGCCGGTCTTGGCCTTCCAAAGTGTTGGGATTACAAGCATGAGCCATCGTCCCCAGCCAGAATGCTGTTTTAGAATTCAGCCCTGGTTTGTGTGCCTTAGGAAATGCTCTATAAGCTTCATGAATTTTACTAGTATGGACAGACAGTCACATTTTTCAGAGCGTAAGTTTCCTTGTAAAATGAAACTATTACCATTTACATAACAGGCAGCTCGGCCCACATCTGCTTTTCTGAGTCTAGGTGACAAGGACTACTGTGGCATTTCATGGGAGTGTTGTCTGTCTGCAGTTTTCTCGAGTGTGCAGGAGTATATGGGAATTTCAAACTGGGACAGAGTGACTTCTAGGCGTGTGAATGTGGGAAGTACAGGTAGCTCTGGCTTCTCATGCCTTCTTACTTTTCCACTAGGGTTTTTTTCCAGGGAACCAATCTGCGCTTTTGAAGAAAAGACAAAGGTAGAAAGGACGGTGGTGGACTGCCTGGCAAATGGTTATCAGGTAAAGTGAAAATGTACTGTTGTACAAAATGTCATACCTTCATCCAGTAGGTAGACACATTTCCTTCTAGACAGACTCATCTCTAGAGTTCTCTTAGAGCAAATGAAGCTTTACTGAAGGACAAGTCCCGAGATGAATTTCCCCAGGGAATGAAATCTCCTATAGATAAAATGTTAACTTGAAAATCATCCCATGATCTCAGTAATAATTAATTAAGCTTGACCTTCATGGTGCCAAGTGCATCTTTCTTTGATTGCTGGGTGGTGTGACAGATGATAAGGCAGATGAAAGTGTCCTTTTAGCAAATAATTTATTCACGCATCAGTATTTATCAGATATCTGCAGTGTGCTCAGGAGTGTGCTGCATAGTGACAAATGAGACAGGAAGAGCTTCTAGCCTGGTTGTGGTTGTGCTAAGATAAAGTGTAAGCTGTGGGCAGTGGCTCATGCCTGTAATTCCAGCTACTCAGGAGGCAGAGGTCAGAGGAGCACTTCAGTCCAGGAGATTGAAGCTGCAGTCACCAGCAATTGTTTCTGGGTAACGCAGTGGGACCTGTCTTTATATATAAATTAATGAACAGATTAGATGGGGATAGATAGATAGATGAATAGATGATAGATAAAAATTTATGTTGGCTGGGCGCGGTGGCTCATGCCTGTAATCCTAGCACTTTGGGAGGCCAAGGTGGGTGGATCACCTGAGGTCAGGAGTTAAAGACCAGCCTGGCCATCATGGTGAAACTCCATCTTTTTAAAAAAA